TATCTGATACACTCGCTAGCAGACGATAGATTGACTGATGGTCTAGTTGGTTGATGCATAATTTAGTGATGGCTTCTTACCTGCTTGTCCAACAGCACCATGCTGCTGCACTGCACAAACTCCTCTGGGCCAATGTGCTTGGCCAGCTTCTTTTCCAGTCGGCACAATATTTGTGCATATTGAGTGGCTGTGGGGCAGTTGAGTGGTGCAACGACCTGCCGCAAAGTTGAGTTAAGTATGCACTCGTATATCAAGTCGAGTCAGGTCAAGCTCACCTTGTCACTGTTGGTCTGGCAGGCACGCAGATCGGCCTCGTGCTGCTCTAAATCAGTCAAACGTTGAAGTAAGGCACTTAGTACTTGGGAGACTATGGCTTCTAAATGTGAATTGGAACATCTACAAGCAAACGTAGTGGATTCAATCCATTAGAAGGCTGCGCCGCACTCAGATAAACAAATCCTGCTCACCTAGCAACGATATGTTTTACATGATTCATCATGCGCTCGTCACGATAATCGTATGGGAACTTCTGCGTCCACTCGGCCAACAGGGCGACCAATGTCTCCAAACACTTGCCCTCGGTCACCGAGGCCAGCAGTTTGCCGAGCAGCTCGTGAGGCCGCATAAACAGACGTGACGACAATAAAAATGAGAACAGAAATTCCTGCAAAAGATAAACACAAGTGCGAGATTAGTCTAACTCAAATAGGGCGACCCACTGAGCCACCACTGCGGCCATCCACAACAATTGAGCTGAGGGAGCAAAGTATTCCATTAGCTTCATCTGTTGGTTATCGCCCCGACTGTGTGCTGTGGCTGTGCTTTGCTGCCTTTTCCTATGGCTCTGCGTTCGCAATTTCCTTGCAATGAGCCAATTATTTTTTACTCTTGCTGCTAGTGACTCATTTCCTCTCCACATTCTTGTGGAACTCCTACTCTTACCTCTTTCTAGTTTTTCCTTTTCTCTATGTCTCTTTCCCTCTGTCTCTCTCATTCTTTCAGTTTATTGAATTATTTTCCTATCTTTCTTGGACTACTTTACGGGTTTGAGCACTATCTGCTCTTTGTTTTCAGTTTTCAGCTTCTATCAAACCAATTAGATCTCAGCTGAACTTTAAGTTTGGGTTGCAGCCTTTGCTTTAAGGCATTATAATTATAGGAATTTTAAAATGCTAATCGAATTAAGTAAGAGAGGTCTGGGCGGTTTGCTTTTGTCATGGATTGTATGGGGGCCGCAGAAGCAGCCACGCCCGTATTCCTTAGGATTGGGGTAAGAGTAATCGCGCTTCAATTATTTTCTGCTTAAATTAAGTTGTATATAAGAAAAGCAAAATAATAATAATAAAACCAAAAAAAAAAAAAAAAAAAAAAAAAAAAAAAAAAAAATTAAAAAAAAAAAAAAAA